TACACCCGCACTACTACACCCACACACTCGCACTGCCCACCGTGCACGTCGCCCCGCCATTTACTCCTCATACACACGGTGGAAGCGCGGACACACATACACACACCATGCACAACAATAACCATTAACCACTATACATGACATAACACACAGCACATTTAATTCAATACTTTATTGTAAATAATGTAGTGTGTGTGTGTGTGTGTGTGTGTGCCCGCGCGCGCGCGCAAGTCAACCTGTCTGCGTGGCGCGCGCCGTTCAGTCACGTGACAGCCGGGAGCGCCAATCGAGAGCAGCAGCGCGAACACAGACACCGCAGTACATTTGGGAGAGAAATGCAAACTGAAGTATCGATCTCATTAAACTGGTATTGATCAATATCAACACCAACATTATTATCGATATTATCCATGCTTGGATCGATCCGCCCACCACTACCCACCAATATGAGTCACAATCAAAGCACAGCTCATCGTCCTGGTTTGCTCATTAAACATAAGAAAACAATTACTAACCTATCCAAGGCCGGCATATCTTTATAAGTTTATGGCAACCGAGTTCCTTGCAATATTCACTCATATAGTATAGGCCAACACGTACATGTAATTCTCATTTAAAAAAATACACTCGTTTAACATTTCCTCTCTTACGGAGCATAGAATAAACGTATAATCCCTTTAGTCTACATTCGTTTTAAAAAAAGAAATGTCAGGTAGTTAAAAAGTATAAGTTTTATTTCGCTGCGGTATGTTTCTATGCAGAGATTTCCAAAAATGTACCTGTTTACACGTGAATGTAAATGTATGCTCTCAATTGTATATGGTCTGTTATAATTTGATTGTACGGTAGGGGGCATTTGAGTAGTGATGCGCATGCTCGAAGTATATACATAAGTGTATATGTATGTGTGTGCGATAAAAGGAACGGAGATTGTTCCCAGTTCATATAGTTAATAACGTGTTGTGTGAATTAATTTTCCTCCGATATAATAATTCCTTTATTGTTAGTCTTCTCCTGATCTTTCTCACCGCTGCACCGACAGTTTTGTCGATATGCCAACAAGCACGCTCCTGGTTATCAGAGAAACCTTTTCCACCGCGGAGAGGAGCGCGCACCTACCTGCACGTTGCCTGACCGCTCGTGATTGACAGCGGAATTGACTAATAAGATGCCGAATCGTAAATTTAACATGTGGAACACAACTAGATCGACTGTACGGCGGGTATCACTTGCTACTGAACACCAGTAAGACAAAGGAGCTGGTGCTCGACTTCAGAAGGAACACTTCAGTGCATACTCCTGTGAGCATCCAGGCTCGGACATTGATATTGTGGACACTTTTAAATACCTGGGTGTTCATCTCAATAATAAATTGGACTGGTCAACAAACACAGTTGCCCTGTATAGGAAGGGCCAAAGTCGCCTCCACCTGTTGAGGAGACTGAGGTCCTTCGGGGTGTACAGAGAACTCCTACGGACTTTTTATGACACAGTAGTGGCCTCAGTAGTTCTCTACGCTGTTGTGTGCTGGGCAGGGAGCAGCTCGGACAGAGACAGGAAAAAACTTAACAAGCTTGTTAAGAAAGCTGGCTCTGTCCTGGGCTGCACACTGGACACCATCGAGGAGGTGGCGAACAGAAGGATGCTATTAAAACTGTCATCTATTATGGATAACCCCTCCCACCCCCTGCACCACACTGTGGAGGCTCTGAGCAGCTCCTTCAGCACAAGACTGTTACACCCTCAGTGCAAGAAGGAGCGCTTCCGTCGATCATTCCTCCCCACAGCTATTAGACTTTACAACACATCACTGCAGTGACCACATAATCAATATATATATAATCCCTGTATATGTAAATATGTGTGTAATATATGTATATCTGTGTGTGTGTAATATATGTATATCTGTGTGTGTGTATGTATGTATATATATATATATATATATATATATATTTCAGCAGCTGCTATCCATATACCTAGCATTGTGTATATGTTTCTTTTTTTCTTACATTTTTACTTATATATTTTTACAGTTTTAGAAATTGTTTTCTATTGTTTTTATTATCTGTATTGTTATTTTTTTGCTGATCCTATGGATCCTGTCCTTTTTTTGTACTGTCTTTTTTCATTATTGCTGCTGTTTTCTCAAAGAATTTCCCCATTGTGGGATTAATAAAGTCTAATCTAATCTAATCTAATCTAATCTAATCTAATCTAATCTATCCTGAATAGTCCGGTACTGGTTTGATAGGCTTTAACATAACTAGAAGTAATTTCCGCGTGTAAGTTCATTTCATTGCCTGCAGCTGCCGCTGTAACTGTGCATTTGATAAATAAACATTGTTCTCAGTAATGTTATAAACACTAATGCAAAAGTGTATATTATTAAATATACACTTGATTTATTTCAGGTAAAGTTGACGGAAAATTCACCAGGGGCGATTCAATAGTTGCATGCCTCCTTTACCTGCAGTGTAACATAATATTAATGTTTGGTAGAAGGTACTTGCTTAACATTTACTTCGGCTTCTCTCGGGCTCCGGGCTGCATAGACGGTCTAGCTATGATCATTACCAGCTTGCATTCACCAAAATCAGGAAGTTAGAAAGCAGCCTGTGCCGCAAGAACGCCTTTAGTCTACAGCGAGCAAAGCATCTTTAGGGAAGTTGGCTTCTTACAAAACCCAGAAACTGAAGTCTGTTCAACAACCATCTCAGCGATGATCGGACGTGTGGTGAATACTGTGCAGTTCTGAAGATTCCGCCGCCGTTGTGACAACTGCACTACGAAGAGCTACTTTTCAAGATTACACAAGTATATTCACGGGGTGGGTTATACAAGGATATCCGATAAATGCATTCTCTGTTTAATTGTAGTAATGCTTCTGGAATAATTTAGAAATTGTATTGCAGTGTATATTGATTTCCTAAGGTTTTATAAATGGTATCCTCGGTGTTCTAATCCCCGAATCATTAATCCCAGTATTAAGGATTATCTGAGCAGCAACGCAGGGGATTCCATGACGTATCGTGCATATCGTATAACTCAACATGCTTTTTGTGCCCTGTCTACCTCACAGGATGGCGATGAAGTATGAAGGGTTGTTGGGCCGTTTCCTGCCCCTACTCTCCTCCGTCTGGGGGGTCTGCCAGTTGTGCCTCTTCTCGCTTCTGCTCGTCCTTTCGCTCCGGGTCTGCTGGGCGCTGCTGAAGTACTGGAGAAACGCCAGGAGACTGCGGTGCTTCGCGCTGCCCCGCAAACGCAACTGGCTGCTGGGGCACCTGGGCTTGGTGAGTGACCGCTTACAAGCAGATCGGTCCCTCGGTGCCGCAAGAAGTAGCACGGAGCATGGAAACCTAATACGCCAGCCACGGCAGGTTATTAATGATTAATTCTATTGGTGAAACGGAAAAGGGGGTAATCTGAGCAAAGAAACTTGGGCTCGATTTGTGGGGTGGTAATCTGCCTTAAGATCTGAATTCCTGACGAGTAAAAATGCACGTTCATCGCCCCGATTAATGGAATTTTTCATTAAAAATGTGGAAATAATCGCACACAATTAAAAAAAAACCAATAAAACACTATTAATATAAGTCTGAATTATGTACGTGTCTTTACAAAACAAAAATGTGGATTTTAGACGAGGCAAACGATATTGAGTTCGCAGTGAACGTTGCGGTTTGAGGTCGCTACCCCCCCCCCCTTTATAAAAATTATGAGGTTATCTGAGTGTTTCAAAACACACTAGTGGACTTGATTTTATACGCCCCCCCTCCTTGCCCCACTTGTTCAGATGAGGTGCGCGCTCTATATACCTAAAGGACATCATAAGTGTGGAAACGTTAAGCTATTTAAGGGGGCGGCAGGTAATCAAAGAAAATACTCACATTATAAACAAGCGGCCTTTAAATGTTACTGTGTCGCGGCTTCAGTGTGTTAAATGCTGCATTACAGTTCGCGCTGTGGCCGTGGCGCACCTGTTCTTCGGGGTTTTAGTTAAGATGGCCTGTTTCACTTTATCATAGTCTCTGGTATCCTGAACATCCATTGCCACATAGGCAGGACGGGCCTTCCCCGACAACAAAGGAACCAGATACAAAGCCCAGCTGTCCCTTATCCATTGGTTTGCTAATGCAATCCGTTCAAACCAGGGCTGTGGAGTCGGTAGATAAATGCTCCGACTCCGACTCCGACTCCTCAGTTTCTAAAT